GGAGCGACTGAGCAGCAGAAATCCCGTCCTCAAATCATCCTCAACATCCGGCCTCCAAGTAGCCCATATTTACTTGACAAATTCACTATATTAGGCCCGATGGTGTATAGTCTCGGTACTGAGAAATCATCGTTAAATAACCAACGAAAAAAAAAATTGTTTTAGGCAGAAGTTGTTCGTTAAGATGAATATTGTAATGGATGTGATCGACACGTTGCCAGGCAACAGCTCCTAAACACTGTTATGTGTGATCCGGTGAGACTGTTATAGTCCCCGTGTTATACACCCGTGAAGACTAGTGCGTAGTGCTTGTAAGGGAAGTGAATAGGAGACCTGTGAAGATTTAACGTGTGTTGTAATTACAGTAACCTTGAAAGTGTTACAGTTATTTGTAGTTACAAGTAGTGAAGATCCAATAAACCGATTCACCACTCCAAACCCACGACTTAGTCACTGTGACACGTGACAATATTTTATATTTCTGCCCATTATTTTAATGGGCTTCATGATTATAGGTCGAATTGAAATCGGTTGTGTTCATCCAGAAATATGGCTTCAGCAACAAAATGTCAATATCCAGTAGAAAAGTCGTCAGCATGTCAAACGTAAAACACCCTTCATACCGAAAGATCAGTACTGTTCTGTGCTGTTTTTACGATATGTAAGGAATTATCCATTACATGCTGTATTTTCTTCTTCTATAAGAAACAGCAAGTGGGACTTTAAAATTACTGAATTGCCGTATTCGCTGGTCTTCCCGCACAGCTATTCGAGTCTTGCAGTGGCTCAGGAGTTAGTCGCTGGCTTCTCATCATGGTGGACCGAACTCGATCTCAGGTCAGGCCCTGTGTGATTTCCGGCGGGTATTAGAGTTTCCCTAACAATTCTCATTCCACCAACTGCTCCACATTCATAAATTGTCTATCATCAGGCGCTACTGACAGATGATCCTCAAATAAGAATCTAAAGAACACAAACAGCTGATATAGCAGTTGCCGTTGCTCCGCTAGAAATGCGTGGCGTGATTTAGAGCATTTGTCTCGAAATCTTTTAGGAAAACCAGACTTCCGAGTAGAAATTTGAACCTGGACCGCACCATGGGAAACCCCGACCTTCAGTCCATGCTTAGAATACATTACGACTCCGGTGAAGGGAAGTTAATGTAACGTGGAAGAAAATGAGAAGTTGATTATGAAGTAGTCCTGTTCACAAATTATTATGAATCCAGTAGTGGCCAGTTGTCACTACTCCCTCGTCAGCCTGGACAGACTGAGAGAAACCAGAGACAACCTCAGAATATGGTAATCTGATGGCAATTCGAAAAGAGTAACTCAGAAACACACGCCTTCTCCGTGATATTCTGTAATAGTTTGTCTCTTCTAATTTCCAACAAAGACGAAACTTGTTCCTCATTCTCGTTTGGTCTGCGGACTGAATTCTGATGTTCCGTCCACAGGTAACAACAATTCATTTTGTTTCAAAACCCCTTGCAAGAGGTCGCCATCAAGTGAGCAGTTTACTGTTTGTCTCTGATGTGGCTACATATAATTGCTGATTCCACGAACTCGTCCACTCAATTTTATGCCTCAATAAATCCAGTAATTTCAATTAATTGTGCAACCATTGTGTCCACGTTCGCAAATGAACAGCTCGGCCTCCTCATAATTGCAACAGGGTGGAAAATAAACACACACACGCATACAAGCACCAGAGAGTCGCTGCGTCTGGTCAGTCGGTCTCGCCCACAATCTGTTGTGTCAGTGAACCGATTTTCACGGGGATGGACTTATAAACCTTGCGAGAGAAACTTTATATTTCTCGAGCGCAGATACAGCTCGGCAGATGCATGCTAGCACTCGGTTCAGAATCTCTCATCTGCACTCAGAAGCTTCTCCTAATGAAATGGTACACATTAAGGATATGTGAGAGCCAAGTGTTCAGGACGATATGTGCACCTTAGAGAAATCAAACAAGAGGACGTTGTAAGAAAAGTTACATTGCAGTTTCAGCTTTTCACTCAACACTGTGCGGATGACTGTATTTAGGGTGTGTATTTGCATATAGATGTACAACTTTCATTTCAGCGTGTCAAGGGAAGAGACTGGTTCGGAGATATAGGTGAAGTTAGGTGATAATATTAAAATGAATGTTAGAAACATGTGTTTTGAGAACGAAGCATTGTTCCTTGGGGAATTACCGAAGCAGCTAATTTATTGACTAGCTGAATAACGGCCAAGTGCTAAAGAATTGTCGTGGAGTTTATTAATTATATGACGTTGCATATACAGAAATGAACGTGGCATATTAGTGCTTCTTGGATTATTTGACTGCACACAGCGGTCACAACGCCTGCTCGGTCCGGAGACCCTCCTCTGTCCCTCGAGACAAGTTTCAGCCACAGATGACGACCGGTTCCTTCCGCAGTTTTTCAGGTTCACGTCTTATTAATCTTCCTGAAATTCGATGCTATATATTGTGAGCTTGGAACAGCGTCGTTAAACGACAAGTAAATTCACAGATAGAAAATCTCACGGTTGTGTAGCGAACAATGGGATGAAAATAAATTAAATAGGGATTTGGAAAGCGGCCGTGGTGACAGGCTGCAACGTACTGTCCAGATAGAGACTGAAGACGCCCGTTCAGGTTAACCAGCTTGCGAAATCTGTCTCTCATGAAGCTGCTTTTGTGTTGCTTCAGCAAAGAGGCAAGAACCCGAACAGAACGGCAAGTGTGTGCTGTGGCCAACAGAAGCGAGGCTCGAAGAGCAGTGACCAGTGTTCGCTGTTCATTACAGGAAGTAGCTCTGGCTGTGAACTTGAGGCTTCTAAACAGAATGAAGACTGTGAGGCCTCTTTTCGGAATAACCGGACTTGTGTTCCATCCGGGAAGGTTAAGACAGGCATAGGCACACTTTTCACCACGCCTGAGAATAATATTGCGAATTTCCATTGCAAAAATCGTGATATGAAGCAATGGAATCCGCGTGGCACGATTTCATACAGTTCGAACCCCAGTCATTCAGTCCATAGGCATTTAGCATACATGCATAGGGAAGAGTGCAAAACCACGCTAAGAGGGGACAATAACGCTAATGCCTTGGTTTATATAACGACCCTTCCTCAACTGTACAGGTTAGGCCTCTACTTCTAAGTCTATGCTCCTAGGCTCCAAGGGGAGTATGTATGCGAATGCCTAATTGGGATATAAACACTCGTGACCTATTTTAAGGTGCTTTATTTGATGCGTCGTCTTTTTTACGAACATGCCTTCCGTGTGACAGGCCTGCTTATTCTACCTTCAGACAATCAGTTGGCCTACTGCTTCCACCATAGCTAAACCTTCGCAGGGTCTGTCACAAATGACTTATCCTCTGAAAGATAAGGAAGCTACTGTTAACTCATTGCACGTAATTACGCCGCGCAGGAGATAGCTATAAGTTTATGCTCATGTAATTGGGACAGGCCATTCCCTGCTTACATGGACACTGAAATATCGCTAATATTGTGACGTATAGACCCGTTGCTGGGCAGGGACGTCGAAGCCAACGGCGGCCGTTGCCATACAACGGCGCGATAAATATGCATTTACAACAATACAGCTATAACACAAACGTGAGATGGACGGTAATATCAGACCCGTTCATGGGCAACGTCTCGATAAACACGTTCCCGTTGCAACGGTTACATATGCAAGGGGAAACGGGGTGTTGTCTACGCGGTCCGCGCCGAGAAGTTAGAAGAGAACGGGAAACCAGTTCAGGTTAACTCTGCAAGGGAGGTTGAGCAGAGATGCTGCTGTAGTTCAGTTGAGAGCTGAAAGTCAGGCCGTGAAGAGATGACTCTATCTATGCTCAAGTTACAGTGAAACTCTTATATTTACTATGTTAAAATCCGTTACATGGGTACGACTAATGAAGACTGAGAAGACTTAGCATGTGCTAGTGATAGTGAATTGTGGGAACTAGCGGTGGTGCTATACTTGCTTGTAGTTCCGAATTGTGTGCATAAGTGGGCAATAAATCAATACCCAATTCAAACATCGTCTATAGTCACACCCCAAATACGTGACATTATGTTCACAAAATTCCATTACCACATTCTTCCCTGAACTAATTATATTAAAGTCGCCACCTCATGCCATTTCTTAAGATAAATTTTAATATATCCCATCTGCATCTATATCTAGGTCTTCCTAGATTCATCTTCTTCTAAGGTTTATATTCATTTCTCATTTCCCCTGTGCGTGCCATGATTTAAGCGCCTTAGCAGTATTAGGCAATGAATGCAAATTATGAAACTCATTAAGCATATTTTATCCTTCATACGCATCGACATATTGAGAAAAGTGAATTCCTTTCTAAAGCCAGAAACATTAATAAAATTGTAATGTCACACGAGCATTCAGTCCAGAATCTTCTGTCTTCTCGTCTGCTGTCCAAAAAACATAAAAATTAGAATATACAAACCTATAATTTTGCCTGTGGTTCTGTATGGGTGTGAAACTTGGTCTCTGACATTAAGGGAGGAACATAGACTGAGGGTGTTTGAGAACAGGGTGTTGAGGAGAATATTTGGACCGAAGAGAGATGAAGTGACAGGAGGTCGGAGAAAACTGCATAATGAGGAGCTTCATAACTTGTACTCTTCTCCAAGTATAATTAGAATGATCAAGTGAAGGAGGATGAGGTGGGCAGGGAATGTAGTGCGAATGGGGGAGACGAGGAATGCGTATAGGATATTGGTGGGAAAGGCAGAAATAAACAGACCACCGGGAAGACCAAGGCGTAGGTGGTTGGACAATATTAAAATGGATCTTAGAGAGGTAGGATGGTATGGCATGGATTGGATTGATCTGGCTCAAGATATGGACCAGTGGAGGACTCTTGTGAACACGGTAATGAGCTAGGAAGTTCTTGAGTGGCTGCAGAATTGACGGCTCCTCCAGAAGGGCTCAGCTCCATGAGTAAGTAAGCAAGTAAGTAAGTGGCACACGGAACTTACCGTAAGGACAGAGACACTGGAAAGTGCTGCCCTCGCGGCCCTGCGAGATGTCCACGCAGATGCCAGAGTTACGGCACGGACCTGGGTAGCAGCCATCGCGCTCCTCGCAGTGCGGGCCCACGTAGCCGGGGCAACACTGGCACTCGTACCCATCCTGCGCACAATCAAATTGCATCGAAATCCTGGTGAAGTGTGGACATAAGTAGGAACCTCCCCCGCACACGGGTAACGTCAAGTGGCGCAGACCCGTGAGGACTGAAAGTGTTCAGACAGGACCGTGACGCCGCTCATACATCAGCTCGCATTGTCAAGTGATTTTCAGGTTCAGATCAGGATTTGCAATTACAAAGTCGAGACTGCTGCTTCGAAAGTCAAAAAATTATAAGAGAAGGAAGATAATTTTATGCTGAAATTCTAAATTAGACGAAAGAGAATGCCCTCTTTATCTAATTAGGGCAGCGAAGTCGATGACGATGTGATGGGCTGGATATGTAGCTTGCCTAGGAGCATAGAGTTCAGACAGACACACTACAACATAATAATACCACCACCACTGGCAACTGTATATATAGGCAACATCCACCTCCAGGTACAAAAACCTGAGCGTGATACCCAGAATAAAGGGTGTAGCCTTCACACCATAATAAGAAGGTAAGAGACCAACACTACCCAGATTCTGAAGAAAGAACCCGGTACACAGTTACCCCACATCACAGCAATCACTACGAGAGTGAATCAACCAGACAACACACATACGGATATGCAGCGGTCTCAAAGTCTTAAATAAGACTTTTAAGGTATAAGTACCTTAATCGCTATTTTAATTTTAATTCTAATTTTAATTTTTATCTTTTTAATGTAAAATTTTAACGGTAAGTTCTAAGCTATGTGTGAACTACATTAACATTAAAGTATATTGCTAGCATAAAAATTCATGCAAACACAATATGAATTCATATTTTAACTTGAATAACCATAGCCAGGCCACAGTTCCGTAAACATGTTCCAACACGCGACAATAAAAGGACGTCATATCTAGGCCACGCCCGAAATATGCGCACGCAACAATAGAGGAGGCTGTATTTTCCGTGTCCGCGGTGACGTCACGCAGCGGTGGGTGGTGGTCACGTTACATGTGTTTCCTGTAATGCGTGTCCGTTCCTCGGCTATAGAAGTGAGCAGAATTCCTAAGCTGGATATTATTATTATTGTTATTATTACTACAAGAGAAGACCGTGTTTTCCAAGGGTCCGACCCGAGGCTACATAACGAGAGTCTGTTTGTAGCTAGGGGATTAGAGAACTGGAATTGGGAGTTCAGAAGCTGCAAGAGAACTGTTGTGAACGAACCAGAGTCGAGAGAACGGGCATTCAGCGGAGTACAAGGAGTACAACAGAGGGTACAAGAATGAGAATTGAGTCAGTTTTCAGTAGGAGGTAGCCACGGGAAATTAGTATTAGAAGAGGAAGTAAGTCAGCTTGTGCAGACTTAGTGTGTGATTAGAAAATTCAGTCACAGTGAGGCTGTTTTAATTCCGTTACCAGGATACGACTAGTGAAAACTTCGTATGTAACGGTGAACTGTAAATTGTGTAAATCAGCGATAGCGCTGTATTGCTTATTAGTACGAGTTGATTGTATAAAGTGATAATAAATCCACTAATCCAATCAAACCCCCGTCTATAGTCACAAATACACGTGACAGTACAATACTTACACGCCCGTAAGGTAACATATACAGTAAAAGTATCTTCCTGCTAGTTCTAAGTTACCAATTTCAGTTCAGAATGAACTCGGCCTCGCAGACTGCATTAGTGCTGCCTCACTGTCAACGGGAGGTATGCGTTCTTCCCCTTTGCGGGGATCATGGGGTGTCTCGTGTTTGAATGCCTCAGTTACATTCGCTTCTAAACCCCAAGATAAATGTGTTCCTGCCACGAAGGCGTGGAAGCAAATCTCTATGCATTTTCTGCATCAGCATTAGAAGCCGGCAAATGGTCAACTCTTCACCCCTCGTGCTTTACGCTTGTGAAAGGATGCTGGGTGCACAGTAGCGCTGCCCTAAACACGGCGGCGGAGGTAAAACTCCCTGCTCCTTCCGGTTGTCAGTCCGTCTTGCTGCCATTCAGTCCATTGACAGATCAATCCCAGTCTATCTGCAAAATGTATTTTGTGTCAAATCTCATGAATAAATAAGTATTCGTTGAATGTCTCATGGCTTGTTTAACGTGGAGTTACTTTTCCTGTAACTTGCACTGTATTGGGCGGCGCAGAATGATACAATGACGCGAATGATGAACTCGGATGTCGTCACGAATAGTACTGTATTATCTCGGCAGTTATCCGGAAAGAAGGAAATCCCCAGTCAGGATAGCCAGTATCTGGATAAATGTAGATATTTCCTAATCCCTATAAGTCAACGATATAATATTTAACCAGTCGGTGTAAATATTTTTTACATATTAATGAAGTCTGAAGAATAGACCTTTTTCAAGACCCTGTGTGTGTCTGACCAGTCACTGAGGACCAGCATCGTGACGCTTCCAGGCTCCCTGTCCCAAGCAGTGCGAACCACAGGAGCGTGTGAACAGTCCTAAGATGGCGTTCGCTAGGAGAGCAACATATGTTGAAACAACAGCATTGGTGCCGCTCGCTTGAATAGATTGAATTCGACATGTTAAATTTGTATGGCTGTTTGTTGTAAGTAACTCACGCAGTCAGAAAGAAGTCGTTGTGAAATGCCTGGAAATGTTCGAGACATTTTATTCAATGGAAAGTCTGTTTAATTCGTGGACAATTTTCTTTAAAAAACAAAAAATGTAGAGGAACTACATCTTAAGAAACTGCAAGTTTAGAACGTTTGATGGCCTGTCAGCCACTCACTGCATTTAATTTCTCCAAGACAGAGATGAGAAAATTACGACGAGGGCCCCACAAAAGTGGCCCTGTGTCACATTTAGTAACAAAATTATTTTTTGCGATGAGGAGTTGCTATCCAACGCTCCAACCCCCAAGCTGGAGTACTACCTATTGTCGGCTGTCCGCGAATGCTTATTCAGTTCATTCGCAGCTATGCTGCATATCTGGAGTCCGTTTCCCCCACCTGGAACCTTTGATGCGCCATGCCGGGGTGACGGGGGACATTCAACATGTGATGTAGCGCCATAGGGCGGGCGCGGAGTGCGAATTGAATTTTGACGGGAAAGCCAGAAGGAAGGGTACCACTAGGAAGATCTTCATGTAGGTGGAAGGATAATATTAAGATGAATCTTAGACAGATAGGATGGAATGGTGTAAACTGGATTGAAGTGACTCGAGATAGGGAGCATTGGAGTGCTCTTGTGAAAGCGGTAATGGACGTTCGGGTTCCATGAAACATTTGGAAATTCTTGAGTAGCTGTGCAACTGACGGCTTCCCAAAAAAGACTCAGATCCATGGGATTTTCATTTATTGTGAGTGTAAACACATTGCAGCAGAACTAGCGAACAATTCAGAGTCTGCAGTTTAGGCCTGTGGAGATAAATAAAATGTATGTAATTGAATATTTATTCTGTCATATAGCATTCTGTCTGTATTAGTTTCTGCACGACTAGCCGCCATTAAGATTTTTTTTTGGAAATGAGAGCTTCATCTAAATTAGTGTTATATTGGGCCGGCAGGTTTCAATATTGTGACGTTTCTAGGCAATGACTCGATAAACGCATTTCCGCGAAGAGTACACATGCAACAGGAGGACGTCTGTTGCTACGCAACGGCATGTGAACACGCCTCGTCAACAATACAAGCTGTGTTTTCTGTGGTATCCACGCCGAGGGGTTATAAATGGACACAGAAGAAGCAGACCGAGTAGAGTACCGAGTACCGTAGTCGAGGAGTGAAGAGTTGAGTTTCGGTGTGCAAGCCTGCCGGGATATGAACTTGGGAGCAGAGGAACTGAATTGAGTTGGCAGTTGCAGAATAATGGCAAGGAGGGAACTAGTGATTTGAAGTGAGAGTGAGACTGTGGTAGATCCGTTGCCAGGATATGGCTAGTGACGAAAAATCCTAGTGCGTGAGTCACTGTGAACTGGAATGTGTGTGGAATAACGATAGCGCTGTATTGCCTGTAGTCCCGATTTGTGCGTGAATAAAGTGTCACTAAATCCAATCATCTAATCCAACCCCCGTCTTACAAATGACGTACAAAACCCCGTAAATCGTGAGACTGTGACACTCACCATTGAGATGTTGGAGAAGCAGACTCCCTTGCCAGAACAGTCCTGCCCCTCTCCACAGTTGTCTGACTTGACCACGACGCGCAGGCGCACACATTCCGTCCCCCACCGGGCCGAAACCACTGCAACAGAAGCTCAGTATTGCAAGATACTGGACATCTCTGCCAAGTCTTAACAGAATCAGCTTCGCTATGCTATCAGATTGCTGAAACAGGAGGAATAATAATAATAATAATAATAATAATTCTTTCTACATGTCTCTGCGAGACGATACGTGGTGCTGGAGGAGTAGAAAAAAGGAGATTCTCTTGCCTGCTTTGAATACATACTCTAACAAAGAGTACAGACGTGTAGGTTGCAACGCCGTATAGTTTGATATAAGTCCACCGACGTTTCGGAAGAACGTATTGACCCCATAACCTGTTTACTGCTAGTTTATTTCTTTGTTTACTTTTCAACCCTGAAGATGGATGTTATAAGTTGCTCCAAAACACCTGTGGACTGCTATCTAACCCAGCAAGTTGTATAGCCACTACTGTGAGAATATAAAATCCGAAACCTCCAATGGTTTGCTTTGATAAGCATATACTTTTTGTAGACTATACCGCTACGGCGGGTAGACCCAGCGCTCAACTACAGGCCAGAAACAGGGCTTCGCTCCTACGTCACAGCGAGGGAAAGAAAAATACGCCGTTAGTACTTTCAGGACGAGCGCATTTCCACGTGACCTGGCTGCTAGACGAGCATTCGTTATTGTCACAAACGTGTCAGGAGTGACAGCAGTGACACACAGAGAAAGCTGCAAGATTAAGTAATCACTTTTTCATTAAAATCATCGTAAATTTCATATCTTTTCAAGAAAAGAATATATTCCCCAGAAGTATGCTACAGTTTAGTTAAGAATGTTTTATCTTCCTATCCAATGTTAAGCTTGAAAACATTAACATATATAAAACCACAATTTAACGTATTTTGTATGCGAGAAAAACTTGGGTTTCCCGCTCTTAGAAAATAATAGAGATGGGGAGTGTTCTGTAAGAAAGTTCTGAGGGGAATATGATCCTATAAATTATAATAATAAAGTACTGGAAAAAATATACAGTTTCAACTCTTGCCCAACTTATTGTTTGGGCTATTAGAATCAAACAATACGATGTTGCAAGCGTGTAGTACGGATTGAAATGCAACCTCGAGGGAACAGATGGGTTTGAAGGGTCGGTCGTTTGTGGGAGGATAATATAAAATTGGCCTTACAGAAATACGTTGCGAACTGAAGTGAACTAGATCAGGATACAACCTGTTCACTTCTGTTCTAGACATGGGAATGTCCTTTTCAATCTCCATTTCAAAAGACAGCAGTTTATTTTACAGTTTCTTTTTACTTTTGTTCTGATGTGTGTTTGTGTACACGGTGTTGAAACCTCCGTTTTCATAACAGGAAATTTCATGGCAAGCGGAATAGCTCTTAGCCGTTCTAGGAAGACTACGATGCAATTAGTTAGCTGGCCGCTGGGTTGACTGCTTCATTTGTAGCTTGGTTCTTCAAAAAAAGTCGGTGGCAGAATCGCAAATGACAGATTGTGTTTTGCAGGTAATTAAATTAACTGTGAAATGTCAGAACCCTGTTCAGTTCTCGTTGCATAAGGCAATGATATTGGTTGCGGCGGGGGACTTTTGTAGAATTCCAACATTTAGCTAAATATATTTGGAACTAACAATATTTAATAGCAGAAATGGCTAAATGAAATTTAGAGTCTGTTTCGTTTTACTCATGGCGTCTTCCTCTTGTCTGGGTATATGCAGTGCGCTGTTGACGTAGCGAATATAGTTAGCATGGAAGCAGCGAGCTAGAGGTATAAAATTATTTCAGGTGAGCACATTATTATTATTATCATCTTTATATCAGAGAGCTTTATGCAAACACTGGACAGGACACTACCCCCAGTGCCGCAACGGAAGACATGCTTTGTTATGCAGCTTTTGTTGAGTGGGCAGGTCATACCATCTGCTTTTTCTAACAGACAGCTTATACCTCAGCCTCGCGAAAAATTATGCAGTTTGGGAAAAACAACTAATCGCATTTCCCCTTTCTCCCTGTTGTTTTGTTAATATATGTCAAATTTCCTTACTTGTTTTTATTCTAGGACCCAAATATTGAAGGTGCACCTGCAATTCTTAGAGAATCTGTGGCTAAGAAATGCATTAATATTATCTTTGTTTCGATATGATTGAAATTAGATACCCTTTGACCTGTCTGGCATGGGTGGCTCTACCAGGAGCTTACGCTCCCTCCAGCATAGCCCTCCTAGTCACTGGGGTGCGCAAACCTCCTCTCCAGTGTAAGGCGATAGTCCTGGAGGAGGAATTTTGTGTACGTATCACTAAAATGTAATTGAAATAAAATTTTCAAGGAAATTGAAAGGAAGCTCATGCAGTCGTCCAGCCTACTCTTAAAAACTGGTTAATTCCCCACCCCCCAAAGAAAATTATCTGCCTACAAGGTGTGCTTTCAGAGTTTTACACGATCACAGCACCGAAACGTCAAGGCTATACACGGTGTGCAACGAATTGTGTTCAAGGCAGTTTTCCTTCCAGTGGATGCTTAGCCATACAGAACTACGCAGTGAATAAAATGTCATTCAAAATGAAAAGAAACAAGACGTCAACATGAACAATATCACGATTAATTTCGCAGCCACTATTGTGTATGATGGCGTCTTTCAACGAGTTCCTGCTCACAGTATCGCCTCTGTTCGAGAAACTCCGATAATTATCGTTCCATTTCCTTAACCACATTCCATATCGATTAGTAGGTAACGACCAATTTTTTTGTCATCTCTCGTATGAATCAGTTTTCTGCATTGGACTTCATCAATCTTTCTCTTGAAAATCTACTTTTACGAAACACTGACGAAATTCAGTACCCTGAACATTTTAATGGAGCTAATTATTCTGCAAGAAGGAGCCGCTGTGATTGCAAAAACGAGAGAAAGAATCCGTCATCATAGGGAATGAGAACAAATCACATAAAGCAATTATTCCGACTGAAAAGCTGGAGTATGGTACATCCGAGACAGGGCTGTGACTGAGTGCTTGTTCGGTCGCTACATGCAATTAATTTTGACTGCGTCAGTGCGCAATTTGAACAAGCTCTTCTGGCGCTGCCATCACGCTCTGAAAGTACACGAGAAAACGCTAAGGAAACAATACCGAAATTAAGATACGTAGAAACAGGCACAGGAAAAGACCGAACATCTCGATTAGCATAAAAAGGAGTAATGATTTTCCCAGGAAAACAGTCGCGGTTCTTTGACACAGTCTGGGTGGTAGTGTTCATACGAATCAACGTGTCTATTTATTAGACCTTGTTTAAAGAGAGACACGAATAACGCGGCCCCAAGTTACAGATAATTTCCGCGCCTGCTCTTTGCGTAATATTCCATTATGAAAATACTCAGCTGTGGTATAGATTTTCATGCTAGTAAAAATTGCGCCACAACTGTTTGTGAGAATCTGTATAATGTCAGATTTCATAAAAATCCGTGTAGGCGTCCTCGAGTTGACACATTCAGACAGATGGATTGTTACATTTCCAAATTGTTTCGGAATATGCATGCGATAGTGTCCCGTATTGAGAACACAATGACAGTTCCTCTTCTTGTTCGCGACATGTAGCATTGACTCCGTGGCCTGTAGTCCGCAAGCGAACTATACCGACCGAGCGACCGCCGCCTATTGGCGAAGTTAGTGCCAACTTTTGCGGGTAGAGGGTGTCACGTGGTCAGTGCAACGGATCCACACGGCCGTTAATCTCGGTTTTCTAGACCTGATGCAGCATTGACTGGAAGATAAGAAATGCATACACAATTCTGGAGGAGAAGCAGAATTCTTTCTGTGAAACGGATTATGTTTAAGCCCGTTAGACTTATATTTCATGTTATTCTTTTCAATTTATTTGGTTTCAACAGCGGTATACCGACATTTAAAACTATGTACAGCAGAATGAGGACTGACTGGATGGTTACGAGTGGCCGTTTGAGAATTTTACCTACGTGGAGGAAAGAGATTGTGGTGTACTTTAGGTTGTTATTCCAACATTTTCTTGGAGAAACTGAGATAAACCACGAAACACCTCAAGCTAGTCTGTTCTCTTCTGATATTTTACCTTCCGAATACAAAACGAACAGTGACTCGCAGGCCGAGCCTGGTAACGCACTAATTTCAGGAAGGAAACGCATTAAGAATTTATATTTTCAAACATTTCAGTCAACTTCCTTCAGACATAAATTAAAGAATGTAATTAAAAATCGTCGTTACACTCCTTTGTTAAATGACTGCATAAGAAATGAAGCGTGGAAAGTTGTAGCCTGCTCCACGCGTGTATCACGCAGCTTCACACGGAGGTATTGCCTCAGAACCTGGCTTGGCTATGGCCGAGTTACTGACGGAACTCCGCTGAGTTTGTCAGGTTTCAGCCTTGTTTCAAAGCCATTCAGACGGAATATTTGTGCAGCCTCCTGTTCCTCTGTGTAAAATGTAGCGCTATCCCTGTAACCGGCCACGGAGGTCCATAGGTTTGTGAGACGTCGAGGCTTCCACATTTTCTAGACAATCGGCTCACAGATGTCGGTGAGGTTCTCAGCCCTACGCGCCGGCCGCCCTTCACCCCCAGGAAGTTTCCTGGTACTCATTTCTGTTAGAGGCCGAATCGACCCCAGGGGCATAGTGCGGCTGGAAGGATTAGGTTCACTTCCTAATTCTCACATTCCAAGAGTTTCCCATGTTCTGGAGAAACATGAAAATAAACACCTTCCTGCTCTATTTGTGCTAGTAGAGGTGCTGGCTTCAAATGAAAGTGCCTCGGTATGTAAGATTTGAAGTTTTCACGGCGGTGACTATGAAGAAAGCAGTCTTCTGTGATGTGGCGCCGTGTAGATAGTGTGTTAACCACCGTTTCGGATGAACCTATTGCCTCCATCTTCAGGGTAAAAGACAAGGAGAAATCCGCGAGCATACCAGCGTGAGTAGGTGCTCGCATCAGTGTTCATATGTAAGCTTCGAAACATGTTTCGTCGTAAAAATTTTAAAATTTCTCCTCCCTCAATCCCATATTTCGTACGTT